ACGATTCATATCTGTGTATATGGCGTATATTGTATATGGAGAGAGACAAGCAATTAATATCCAGACCTTAATAAATATTTTTTCTGAAAATTAATTACATGTTAAAAACAGGTGTTTAGTGTTAAAAGTAGGTCAAAGTGTGACATCAACTATAACACCTCATCACTTTTTATTTGAACTTTGGTGGAAAGTGTTACTTTATTTGGTTACTGGTTTTATAGAAAATTACCGTAGTTAGTAAAAAAAAATAAGAAATTTGTGAAAAAAAAGTCGGGCGTTACGAGATTTTTCGGAGAGGGTCATACTAAATCAATTAAACTGCCATTTCTAACTCTTTGCTTAAACCTTAAAAACTTGAAAAATCGACGTCAAATTCTGGGTGCATTCTGAAGTTATGGTCTTAATTTCTGTGTGTGTCAAGGTCAAGAATAGAGTAGAGGAATTGAAGAATTGGTGAATAGTTTAATTTTAACATATCTTTTCTGCCTTCTTAAAACTGTCTACATATATAATAGCTGTCCCTTAATGATGATGATTATGATAGGTCTATATAGGTTCGAATTCACAGAGAATATGCCACACGATAAAAAATATTAAAAAATAACAAAATCAATAGTTTGTAGTTGTAGACCCGATTAGATTTGGTTTGTCTACACTTGAAAAATAAACAATTTTAAAACTGATGTTATACAAATCTATATAGTCAACGTGCAGGCTGTTATTAAGATGTTTGATTGTGTCGAAGTTTAAAGAAAAACTATTAATCCGTGAAAAACTTCAGTGTCGGCTACCTGTAGTTAAATATTACAGATAAAACGTTAAATAAGATTACTTAAAAAGCGTGAACAGATTATTCTAATGAAAATGCAAGGAAATGTTTTTAATCTAAACAAAAATAAAACTAAGGTCATAGTTAATCTATTGTTGACTTTTACACCACGTGCTGAGGGATTATAGCGTCTTCATACTTCATAAAGAAACTTTTCTGATGATGGTATAAGACAAGTGGGCGTGGTTAATACTAGTCACGTGATATATAGTACAGGTAGCAGTAATGAATGATTCTGTGTTATTTCTATTAATGATAGTGTTCACCCGGTGTGTACCTGGGTATTTGTTATAATATAGGTGATAGTAATAATCAGACCTGAACCCAACCTTTCTTTATTGATTGAAGTGACAACTATCATAGCCTGTTCTTCTTTAACCAGTGTGTTCTTGGATTATTTCAAATATCGGATAATAACTATCTTATAGTTGGATATATTCATATATGAAGGTAGATTTACAACTTTCACCTATAATTTACTATAATTCAAATTGTTTGTAAGACATTGTTGTAGAGATTTGATTTGAATAAGAGCTTTTAGTGAGTTTTAAAGAAAAAAAAAATGAAATATTTGTAAGTTTGAGTTGGTAATTATGGTTTCCAAGATTCTTTAGTAGTTTTCGGGTGAAATTTTAGTAGAATGGGCGAGTGAATGAATGGATAAATGAATGAAGTGCCTTATTCAGTATTAACTATCATTAATCAAAAAGACAGGTGATAGTTGACTATTGTATCAATCAGTTAGTGACACTTGAATAATCTGATTATTCTAAACTCACCATTCACTCTCTAGTTAATGTCACTTGGTCAGTTTAAGGTGGTCATTATTGAATGAGATCAACTATGATTATAAAAGTGTCGTTTATCATTGGTTGTAACATGCTGGATGTATTTGAAATTTTGTTGATTTCTTATTGATGTCAGGTCTTGGAAATTTGTTGATATGTTTCGTCAAAATCTGCTGATTGAATGTTTAGCATGTCACCTTTATCAGTCACGACGAATGTAAAGTAGTGGTTTTTAATCTGCTGATGTGCTTCTTTATGTTTCTACGGTAGGTTTTTGTATAAAAATGTTTTGTCTATTTTCTAACAATGTTCGGACATTGACTATTTCCCGAACATTGTCTTAACTCTCTTCTTACACTGTCCATTTTCTAATTTTCTTCTGAAACTGTCTGATTCTGACAATGTCAATTTCCCAACCATGTTCTGACAATGTCAATTTCCCAACCATGTTCTGACAATGTCAATTTCCCAACCATGTTCTGACACTGTCTTTTTTTAATTATGTTCAGACACTGTCTTTTTTGTTTATTTCCCATCATTGTCTCTTTTCCAGCAATGTTTTTGGCAGTCTATTTTCTAACCCTTATCTGACACTGTCTATTTTCTAACCCTTTCTAACAATTTTCTCTTTTCCATCAATTTCTGACACTGTCTATATTATAACCCTCTTCTGATACTGTCTACATTATAACCCTCTTCTGATACAGTCTATATTATAACCCTCTTCTGATACTGTCTATTTTCCAACCCTCTTCTGACACTGTCTACATTATAACCCTCTTCTGATAAACCCCCTTCTGATACTGTCTATTTTCCAACCCTCTTCTGATACTGTCTATATTATAACACTCTTCTGATACTGTCTATATTATAACCCTCTTCTGATACTGTCTATATTATAACCCTCTTCTGATACAGTCTATATTTTAACCCTCTTCTGATACTGTCTATATTATAACCCTCTTCTGATACTGTCTATATTATAACACTCTTCTGATACTGTCTATATTTTAACCCTCTTCTGATACTGCCTATATTATAACCCTATATTATAACCCTCTTCTGATACTGTCTATATTCTAACACTCTTCTGATACTGCCTATATTATAACCCTCTTCTGATACTGTCTATATTATAACCCTCTTCTGATACTGTCTATATTATAACACTCTTCTGATACTGTCTATATTTTAACCCTCTTCTGATACTGTCTATATTATAACCCTCTTCTGATACTGTCTATTTTCCAACCCTCTTCTCTTACTGTCTATATTATAACCCTCTTCTGATACTGTCTTTATTATAACCCTCTTCTGATACTGTCTATATTATAACACTCTTCTGATACTGTCTATATTATAACACTCTTCTGATACTGTCTATATTATAACCCTCTTCTGATACTGTCTATAACCCTTGGAACTAAGGATAGTCTTAATACAGAGAGAGGGTGAAACAATCTAATAGAGAAGGGCAATATGACTCGACGTAGATTGAAGGAAGATAGGCCGGAAAAAGACACATTCTACAATTTTCTAAGATAAAGACATGATATGTAGGGATTGCACTTATATTCCCATTGATACTCAATTACTTATTCATATTCTCAAACGAACATCGTCTAGACTTCAATAGGGTTAAGCTCCGTGAAAAGCATTCAGTACAAAAAGAAACAAACAATGCTATACTTTATGTTGTACTGTTCATTTCATTCAAGGTATGTCAATTTTCTGATAATACGAACCTCTTTTCAAAATAATGAAAAAATCTTACTTGATAAATTCAATACTGAATATAGAGTCAACTTGTCGACTACATTATACGGATTAACCTTTCCTAATCCACGTATTATTTTCAATCCTATTTCAAAATGTAGGAATTTTGATTGAATTTCGATGTTTTGCCATTATATTCATTTGGTATGCTGAAATATCTTTTGGAACCAATCAGCAGTATTAAACGAGATAAATTAAATGACTTCAATATTGGATAGTTATTTAAATTCCTTTTGTATTTCATAGAGTGCGATATTGAAAAGCTACCGGAGTTCAAAAAAGAAATGGGTCACCTTGATCTTGATGGTATTCAACATTTTAAGAATTTTTAATATCATGTGGTATTGATAATTCAGTTTTACTGTTTAAATGAATCAAAGACAGAAATTCCTATCTTTTAAGTCTTAATTGAAAGTATTATATTTGTCTAACGGTGATTCTAATATAACAGTCTATAGAAAAGTTTTTATTGATGTCCTCGTAATAAAGGATGTTATTTTCTATGATTTTTTATAATTACACACACTAATCTAATCGATAATGTTTGATTCTTTGTTGGAATCTGAAAAAAACTTGTTATGCCTGTTGGTTGTCACAATAAACATTAAGCAAATCATTTAAAGGTTCTTTCAAGTTTCATTTATGAACCAGGTTGATGTAAATTTACAAAAAAAACGTATGTGAAAAACCCTCGATAACCAGAGTCCAACTCCAATATTTGAACTATGGATGTTACTATGTCTGTATTGTGTATGCAGAATACATATTTAATCATATTAGATTTATTGAACTTGGCTGTCCTTTCATAATGTTAATACAGTTGGTGATTCATTCAACCTTGGGGCATACGAAGCATTGTTGTAAACCGCAATTTCAAGGGCAAATTTTACAGACTATATTAATAAGAGGTCCAGACGAGATAGGGCAAAGCCTTTGGTTGGTTGTAAATTTTTTTAAGACATAGTTTTTGTTGTTTGTATATGTAAAGGATGGGCTCGGTGTTTTGTAGGATACTCGTATACTGTAGTTGGATTGTTTTAGTTTGATGAGATATGTGTTAATGTCGTTTATGATTTTCTGTTTCAAGATCTGAAACAATAGATGCTGTATGTTCTTGCAAATTATGTTGATGATAATTTTTGTCATTTTCGATTATAAAACCGTAAGTATAATACATCTTCATTTCATTGCAGCCTTAACGTCAGAGCATCTCTTGTGGACAAAGGAACATGTAAAATTGAAAGCTATAAGTATATCATGGAGAGTACAATGTGAAGTGTAAAGTGATTTTAAAATGAAAATCTATATAAAGAAGGGTAAAGTGTAATATTGACATAAAGAATAACCTGTCTCTATAGACACTGTAATCATTCAACCTAAGATTATACTCTAAGATAAACTACTGAAAACCTTACAACCTATCTCCATATTAATCTTGTTTTATATTGTGTGAAAACGTGTATCTGATACATCTTTTCATTTTCCTCTAAACTGGATTATTGTACAAGACGTTTTTATAAGCTTTACTAGTGCATTGGATATTTGTTATTGTTTCTCGATTCATGAAATCGACTTGCACCTGTCGACATTCTTCTGGATTATAGAAAATGGCATTATCTGTAAGGTACCATGCAAACAATATGAAAAATAAGAGACCAACATTTAGTGACGAGGATCATGACGGAGATAGTGCTGGATATGAAACTGATAATACTTATGAATCTATTCATTTTATTCCCAACAAAACTCCACAAGTTGTTCCTTATCAATGTGTTGATATTAAAAGACTCATCAACCAAAGACACAACTTGGAATCCAGACCTCGAGACGTTGAAGTTGAATTGGCCCGCCATGAGGACAACTTACTGCGAGGTTATAAATACGAGTTCTGGAGGAAGTCTAACGAAGGAAACAGAAGGCCAAAAACTTTAGATCTCGGGCAAAAACAAATCAGCGATGGAGTCACAGTAGAAAATATGTACAATGCTAAACTATCGTGTAGAAATGATAGAGTTTATAGCAAATGTGGTCCAGGTAGAGGTCAGGTCATTGGACAAAATACCAAAAACAAACACCACGTTGAATTGTATGGTCGTCATTTCGGTTTAGTTGGAACCATTCCTTACAATGAAGATGGTTTATATGGCTTTACATCGGAAAGATATGGTTTTGGTGAAATCCTTTACAAACCTTGTAACGAATTTTACCATTCGTCTGTTGATAGAAATAGAGATTTGTTAGAGAGATATGGTTATGATGTTAATGATACAGACTATGTTCTGAATGATCCTCGTGAAGCTGTCAATGATGTGGAGAGAAATGGCTATGAATTTGGTGGAAATGAAACTGATAATACCTATGAATCTATTAATATTCAGTCAGGTAGGATAGAAATTAATCAGATATCATTATCAACATTCCATTCAAAACATACATAAATACACACGTCTTCAAGACGTTACATCTTGCTGTGCATTACATCTTCAAACCTTACGTATCACCATCAACTAGACATTATACTATATTATACGTTCTACGCCCCTTGACGTTTATTAACTTAAAATATATATCATTAAAATATTTCCTTCTAACATAATTCACGCCATGTGATCTGAAAACATACTCAACATTTGGGCACAAAGACTTCAAATAGAAAACTGTTATTTTATACCCTAAATTTGAACAAAATACAAATAACAATCGTGTACACTTGTATCTAAATAATTTTTATATATTTGGAGGGTCATAATAATGGTACTTGCTTGACTATTTTTCATATAACTTCGTGATAGCTATACCAAAACAAACATTTTTGTTGATTTCTGTTCTATCTAATGAATTAAGAATGACTTGTTCATTCGTCATGTATAGTAATGTCCATAATGGTCACACTATAGCATATTTAACTATATATTTTACATGCATTCATGCTACTTATAACTATATATAAAACATCTCTATATTCGCTATGGGAGTATTATTATGAATTACAAATTTCTGGACGTTTTTCGGGTTTTTTCAAGTTCATATTAAAATCATATATAGCATTAGCGAACCCAGTTTCACAATTGGCGAATCGATATCTAGCTTTGTTTCAGAAGACAATCATGACTGAAACAAAGAATTCAATTGGTCAATGAACCAAGTCAAATAACCATTGTACTTTTTCCTATTATTTTGTTAAAGTAAATCGAATTATTTTCATATTATTTTTTGTACTAATTGTTCAAGAGTGGACAATGAACAATTGGTGTATATTGGTTTTTAATAACGGATAAACAATCAAATATCTCTTGAAATTAACATTCTAATTAAGGATGAATTGAAGCAATTATGGTGGTTATTTTTCAAATTTACTGAAAGCTGAAGCTTAATATTCACATAAACAGCTCGCTATACATGAATTTTCCGAGCTTTACACAGCATGTCATTCGTCTTAAGTTAGTATTATATCTTATAATTAAGTTAGTGATGGTAGGAAAAAGTTGGAGAGCTCCAATGTTTTTAGATATGTTCTGTACTAGAGAAGTACACCCGACACATTTCTCATGACAACAGATTTTACTAATGTTGCGGGGGAGACATTCCTCAATTATTTCTATTGTCAATTATAACTTCAGTGACCATGTCTAATCTGTCTAATTCAAAATCGAAGAACCCCTGATGTTTACCCAAACAATTCCGTGAAGCTTTTCAAGATTTTAACTATGTCGATGTAACATATGTTGGTTGAGCTAGAATTATGTTGTCAACACGAAATTTTACACGTGTGAATATCAATGTAAACATTATTTATTATCAATAAACAATATGTTGACATGTTGCTCAGATTTATTAATTATATTATTTGGCATAATAAATCTGACACGACAACTTTTCCTAAAGCATTCCAATAGACAATTTTTCTAGCATAGGTATAATGAAATATATATGGAATGTTAAAGACTTAAATAATTTGAAGAATCTTAACATGATTTGGTTTGTGGGTTACAAATTGTTCTCTCGGTGGAAAGCGCTCCACTATTTGATCAGCTCCTCTGAAGAATAATTTTATGGTAAATATTCAAACCAATGGAAGCTTTTCTAATATTTTTAGAACCCTGTTAAAAATATTTGATTTGCTAATAACCAAGCGTGCTTTTAAATATATTATTTCTGTACATCTTTTTTTTAATAGAAAAAATATTTTTGATAAACATTTATCGCCAGATGTAAGGATAAATTTCTTGACACCAACAGAACAATGAAAATTAATAGATATAACAAGTTAGTCAGATCAATGCCTACTGCAATCTGTATTCATACCAACATGTGTAGGGATATGATCTATTATATGTCTGATTAACTCTACAAGCCTGTGTTCCTGATTACCTCTAAATCTCAATCAGAGCTATACCTAGACTTCACATCAAAAACTAGATTTCTTTCATTCACACACGTGGACAATTATTGTGATTGGTGGCACGTCAATGTAGTTGGAGAAATATCCAGATTGGAGTTCTAAACAAACACGACCATCTGACAATGTCAATGATTTTAACATGAGGGTAACTAGAACAGAACCATCAATAATTTATTATAACAATAGCCATTCTTTTATCTTACATTCTAAATATTATTTCTTTCTTTTACCAGTCTTTTATTTCAAACCTTTATGAAAGAAATAAATCAATCATCTGCAAATGTTAGCCTCTGGAAGTTCCCACTTGTATATTGAATATTATAGTCCAATGTCATTGTAAATAGTTAATAGGAGGATAGTCGAGAAGTTTGTGTAAAATTAGACGGGTAATACATTGAATTCTACATATAAATATGTAAACTTGCTCACTTTAAGTCAGAAAAAGTATCAAAGACATAATATGAATGTGTAGGAGACAGAATAGAAGAGTTAAATGTTAAAAATTTAAATTTCATACTTTCATAGCATACTTTAATAAAACTATAAATATTATTTGATTTGATTAATTTTTTTAAATATAGATTATGAAATTTATCAAAGAAATTATAATTTTATTCACATACATAGAGCGTGTTTCTACACACTGATTATCATGGGCGTGTGTTTTCAGGGCATGGTCTAGAACATCTCAAATAAAGTGAATCGAACACACCAAACAACTGAATTTGAATTGAGACCTGTTTCCGGTCATACCCACGTGAAATTATGATCTGAAACTAGAGCTTAGGGTGATTGAAGAGTAACCAGTTACTATTCAATATAAGGCATTGGCACGGGGTTAAAGTTATGTTTACAATAATTGTGATGCTAATATGCAATGAACTAAATCAAAGAAGATCATAACGGTTATCATATAAATCTTCTTGGACCTAATAAAGAAATTCATAATACAGAAACTAGAGCAATGATTGATAATCATAGTATTGTGAGAAAGCATTAAAAACTGGCAAAGAGTCCAATCGCGGCGGCGCTATCAAAGAGTTGCATAACTCTATGCAATGTCCTACACAAAACGTTTTCATCAAACATCTGAAATAAACTACAAATAAACCCATGTAATTTATCCACAGGAGATCCAATAACTGAAAAAATAGGTATTGTTTACTTCAATCTCTTCTCTTTCTAATAGACTAAGTCTCAATTTAAATGAACCCCTGCTTATAAAACCCCCGGGTATTTCAATTAGAAGTTTGATCCACTCTGTTGTATTCAATTGAAATTTGACCTGTGTGTGGTATAACATGTCAATCATTATTTCACACCTCCCAGACTCTGTCTTCAAATTTACTTTTGTTTCTAAACAAACTGGTTGAATTTGTATTTTTATGAACTTAGTTTACCAAGGTCAACTGAAAATATACCTAACGTCATAATTGTACCAGAAGTGGAAACAATGTTTAAAATTTCATTTCAAAATTGTATCTTTATGCCTTCAACTTTTGAACATCATAAAGATGAATGACAATATATTATTTATGAAATGTCTTGTCGTAAGATTTTTTGGTATGTTTTAGGTCCGAAGTGTGCAATATAACTTTTAAGATCTCCATAACCCTGGTTAGAACCTTTTGATTTTTCGCATTGAAATAGTTCAGCACATAATGACATACCTTCATTCACTTTTTTCATCTACTATTCAGTGATTATTACCTGCCATTAACCCTATAATTTGATAACCTAGTGATCATAGACTACCCCCACTGATCCTTATCAATCTTAACCACTTCAGTAACATTACACAATTACATTATCCCGCGTGTAGAGGGTGAGTTTTGATCACCTACTACAAAGAGTAAGATTAAAATATTGTTGTGTGTTAATGATAGATATACCTGTTTAATATCTTTGTTAACGTTACTCCAGTGTTAGTCTGTACCGGGTGATATTTAATACTACGTCATTACCTAAAAGACCTTTAAATATTCTCATTACACACAACTGTGTTATTTAGGATTACTTGGCGTCATCTCTTCATCACAAAAAGTTTTAAAGGGCAGCATTATTTGAATTTCATAACCTTCGTCTCTGAATAACAAACAATTTTAATGTCAGGGAAAAAGCCTTCAAGAAATTGACCATATTAAAAGTTTAAAGCTCTCTGTTCAAACTATTTCGTTACCATTGAATACAATTCAAAAACGACTAATGAGGAAAGAACTATGGTTTCAAACTTATTTTGTCCATAATATAGAAAAAATAACAGAAAAATTATATTGAGAAGAGTGCTAAATTTTATAATAAAATGGCCAGTGTTATTTTGAATTATTTATTTTCATGCCCATTATAAAGATACCAAGATTAAGTGTCATTATTTGGTGGTAAAATAATAAAATTACACGAATTTTAAATGAAGTATCATCAAATGGTCGTAAAAAAGATCTTAAGTTGAGGGCAAGTTATTTCTAAAACTATAAAGTTTTTATTTAGACATCACAAAACTATTTTAATTGTAGAACACGCCATGTTTTATGGAGTCTGTATTGGGGAATAATGAGGGGTGGTGAATAATTACCAATTAAGAGGATGATCTGAGCATCTTTAGATCACGTTTTTATCCTGACCTCGAGCAAGTCACTAAAAGCTTAAATTAAGGACACTATGATATACATTTCCGAAATATGTCATACTGTCTGAATATCTCATGGAACAACAGCAGAAGTTGATATCGCAGACTACGTTGTTGGCAGTCGTTGATTGGTTTTTGGGAAATTTCCGTTTTGGTCTGGTTGCATTACTAAAAATAATTTAACCATTTATAGAGCTAAAAAGCCAGGGTATAAATTTACCTGAGAGGAAAAGTAAATGAGTTTTACCAGCTTGTGATATCATTGTTTTCAGAAATGATGATAGCTGCCATTAAAATTAAAATGTAAATCTTCAATTCCTCTTAAAATTTAGTGTAAGTAAGGTAAAACCAGAA